CTATCAGATCTTGCTTCGATCTCTCAGTGGTGAGAGAGAAATAGGGGTGGGGCTGAGCTAAGTGAATCTCAAAGGACAGGCTGCTTGCATAGGCAGCTGCTTGGGTGTGGGGGTCATGGAGTGCTTGAATATTCCCTCCGGCTCACACTGCATCATAGGTTTTGTAGTGTTTAGAAATACCGAAAACCTCTTTCATCTGTCTGATGGTTGTGGGTGCTTGATGCTGCTAAGGACAGGCTGCTTGCATAGGCAGCTGCTTGGGTGTGGGGGTCATGGAGTGCTTGAATATTCCCTCCGGCTCACATTGCATCATAGGTTTTGTAGTGTTTAGAAATACCGAAAACCTCTTTCATCTGTCTGATGGTTGTGGGTGCTTGATGCTGCAGGATCGGCTTGGCAGCGGATGAAATGGTCAGAAACTCTGTATTCAAACTCAGTTCTGCTATCTGCGGATTTTGGCAGCAGCAATACAGGAGCGCATCAGAAGAGGCTCTTTGTTGCACAATTCCCCAAACGAGAGTGCCGATATCCCAGATGTGGCGACACTGACAAAATGAGGGGCTTTGGGATTTGATGTGCAGGAACTGCTAAGGCTGGGGATAATTCCTAAAGATTTCCACACACGTTTAGAATGCCACAGAGCTGATCTCCCCGTCCTGCTAACTGGGACAATGATAGGAACTGACTTTTCTGGGTTCTGCAGCGAAGCTGCTTCCCTGCGCTGACTTTCAACACAGCTCTGCCATTCTCTCCTGTGCCTTGCTTCAGGGTGAAAGACGGAGCTGGCAGGCTGGGGGGGGGGGCATTTGATTAACATGTCAGAACTAATGCTGGGCTGACTAGGCTGCTTATTTCCCTAGCAGGTTAAGCATGACTTTTAAAGACACGTTTATTTGCTCAGGCCCTTTGGAGGGAGTCGAGTCTGTTAGTTTAATTCATCTCAGTTTTGGATTCCTATGAGGTTTTAAGGTTTCTTGAAGGTTTAAACTGCATGGTTTTACATCATGTGGGTAGACCGACCTGTGATCTTCAGATCTTTAGGCACCAGGCGAAAACATTCCTGTTCAGCCAGGCCTTGGGCTGGTTAACATCCTATACCCTTTTAAACAGGGATGCGGGTGGTGCTGTGGGTTAAACCACAGAGCCTAGGACTTGCCGATCAGAAGGTCGGTGGTTCGAATCCCTGTGACAGGGTGAGCTCCCATTGCTCGGTCCCTGCTCCTGCCAACCTAGCAGTTTGAAAGCACGTCAAAGTGCAATTAGATAAATAGGTACCGCTCTGGCGGGGAGGTAAACGGCATTTCCGTGCGCTGCTCTGGTTTGCCAGAAGCGGCTTAGTCATGCTGGCCACATGACCCGGAAGCTGTACGCCGGCTCCCTCGGCCAATAAAGCAAGATGAGCACTGCAATCCCAGAGTTGGTCACGACTGGACCTAATGGTCAGGGGTCCCTTTACCTTTCCCTTTTAAATGTGTGTTTTGGGAAGGTTTTTGTTTTGTTTTTATTATTATTTTTATATTGTATTTTCATGTTGTGAACTGCCCTGATGAAGGGCGGCATGCAAATTGAACAAAATAAGGGTACTTTAGCAATAAACTGATGAGGATGATAACTCACAACAAAATGGGAGTGGGAGACAGACTACAGCGTGGTGAAAATCCCTGCACAGTTGTGAGTTTTGGTGGCTCATCATTCCTCAGGCCGACTACCTCAAAGGGTCATTGGGAGAAGGACTATACAGTGGTACCTTGGTTTAAGAACAGCTTCGTTTATGAACAACTTGGATTAAGAACGCTGCAAACCCGGAAGCAGGTGTTTTGGTTTGTGAACTTTGCCTTGGAAGCAGAACATGTTCTGCTTCCTGTTGAGTGTGTTCTACTTGTAAATTGAGTCCCCCGCTGCTATGGGAAAGCACACCTTGGTTTAAGAACACTTTGGTTTAAGGGGGGGGGGGAGTTTGGATTTGATATCCCGCTTTATCACTACCCGAAGGAGTCTCAAAGTGGCTAACATTCTCCTTTCCCTTCCTCCCCCACAACAAACACTCTGTGAGGTGAGTGGGGCTGAGAGACTTCAGAGAAGTGTGATTGGCCCAAGGTCACCCAGCAGCTGCATGTGGAGGAACGGGGAAGCGAACCCGGTTCACCAGATTACGAGTCCTCCACCCACTCTTAACCACTACACTACACTGGCTCCCAGACTTCCGGAACGGATTAAGTTCGTAAACCAAGGCACCACTGTGTATTTTGTCTATTGAAAGAACGCCAGGGGTCCTTCCCTCCTGTGCCACAGATGCACCTACCTGTGTCAGGCTGGAAGGGGCTTGGTCCAGGTACCGCCCCCCTGCCTTGCTCGGAAGGCAAAACAGGGTGAGGGCTGCTGCCGTTGGTTGCGGAGAAAGGCGCCGTCCTGAGCTGAACCGGCTCCAGGGGGTCGCAGAATTCGAAGCGGGACCGGCCAGCCTGCATTCCCTGCCCACCGTTGACAGCTGGAACACAGAAGTAAAAAATCAGAGGGTGACTGTAGGCCCAGGAGCAACTAACAGGGATGTGAGAGAAGGATCAAGCTGGCACCTGGGTTGCAGAAACCTCAATGGGCTCATTTGGGACAGTATGGCTGCTCATCCTCCAGGAACCTCACTTCCTAGAGTGGCCAGGCTTAACGCCATGCATTTCAGATCAACGGTGAACAATGGCAAGGAATATCCAGGCCATATACAGCAGTGTTTCTCAACCTTTTAACTTCTCTGTTTTCTTTTCTGCTTTCTTCTCGGTCACATCTCTCTCCCCTCTGTGGCCCCCTAGTCTTGTGCTATGGCCCCCTTGGAATATCCTGGGGGGGGGGGCGGGCAGGGGACTATATTCCCCCCCCCCCCCGGTCGAGAAACGCTGATGTAGTCTCCACCATGTGCTGGAGTTCTTGGACAGTCCACCAGAGGTCTCTCCTGACCCCTCTTCTCATCCAAACTACTCATCCAAATTAAATTGGCTTACTTTATTCTTCTTTTTTGGACCGCTGCTCTTTTCAGTTACTCTTCTCATGCAACTGACACTAAAGCACGCAAGTTGGTTTGAACCACAAGTCCACAAGCTGAAAATCCTGACTGCAAACTTTCACATTTTTTATTTCCAAACTCACTTTCTTCTTGTTCACCTTCCCAATAATGATTTATTTTGTTTGAGAGATTCAGAAAAGGGACGCTAAGCATTTAAACATACAAACTTTTTTTTTTTGCACGATGGTCTGGAAATTTTCCAAAACCACAAAAGGATTTTTTTAAAAAAAGAAACCTCAAATTTGAAAATTTCCAGAAATCAAAAAGTTCTTATTCAGATTTTTTAAAAATGTTGCCAGCTTGACAAGTGTTTTGGGTTTAATGGAATCTACTTGGTTGCATTAACCAGATCTGGCCATATAGATACACTCCAATATCCACTTCCTACAACATTTTTTTTTGCTGTATACATTTCAGGGTCCACTTCAAACCATCCCAAAAGATCATTTTGTCTTCTGGACCACCTCCAAGGCATGTGTAAGCTTTTGTATCACACAATGCTCTTTGCCAGGAAGAACAGTTCCGTGTTAACTCAAAAGCTTGCACACTCCCGGCCAACGAAAGCCCATTCCAATAAAACAAGAATAAAAGGGAAAGTGATCACCAGCCAATGGAACTGACGGTCAACTCTAAAAGACTTTTCTGCATCACTGATGTCCCCGAATCTCCAGCAGTTACAAGGAGCCCAGTCAAGTCAAAACATGCCAATGACTTCTGAATGGCCTTATAAGCTGGATTTTCTGCAGGCATTCAGATCCTTGGAATAAGGATTTTTAGCATGCAAGGAACAAGCTTGGGTGGAAAGCAGCTGCCTGACGTTTGGGAATTTATCGGAGAGGGGATGGAAGAAGCAGGGCAGCTTGGGAACTGACAGCACTCTTTCAGACCTCCTGACTATGGGAAGACAAAGCTCCCGCCTTTGATGCGTCTAGTAGCTGTCACTCACAAACGTCACTAGAGCTTGAGAATCTCCTCTCTTGACCTGAGGTGGCCCACTCTCATCCGGTGGCTGTTGACCCTCTGTTTTAGGTGCTGCTCAACAATGGTAAAATCAAGCAAATGAATGCTTCTTCCCTGCAAGTGAGTCCTTTTATTTTGGTTTACAGCCAACATGGTGACTTCCAGACGATTTGGGGATGCAACCCCCATTATCCCTCCCCCCTGGCTATGCTGGCTGCGGCTAAAGTGTTCAGGCCGGACACTGAGGCCCAGCTCCGAGGGACTTCTGGTGGTTCCCTCCCTGAGAGAAGTGAGGTTACAGGGAACCAGGCAGAGGGCCTTCTCGGTGGTGGCGCCTGCCCTGTGCAACGCCTTCCCATCGGATGTCAAGGAAATAAGCAACTATCTAACTTTTAAAAGACATCTGAAGGCAGCCCTGTTTAGGGAAGTTTTTAATGTTTAATGCTGTATTGTCTGTGTATGTCTAAGTGTATGTGTACCTACGGGACCGCCTCTCCCGTTATGTCCCACGGAGGACCTTACGGTCTTCAAACAAAAACATCTTGGAGGTCCCGGGCCACAGGGAGGTTAGGCTGGCCTCAACCAGAGCCAGGGCCTTTTTGGCCGTGGCCCCGATCCAGTGGAGCACTCTGTCACAAGAGACCAGGGCCCTGCAGGACTTGACATCTTTCCTCAGGGCTTGCAAGACAGAGCTGTTCCACCAGGCCTTTGGCCAAGGCACAGTCTGACCCCCTCCTTTGGTAATCCTCATAGAACTCTAGCCCAATGGTTGCCATTAATTTGATTCTGAATTGATTTTAGAATGAATTGATTTTAGAATGTATTTCAATTAACTGAATGTGATTTTATGTAAACTGTGTTACTTTTACTGTTGTTAGCTGCTCTGAGTCCGGCTTCGGCTGGGGAGGGCGGGATATAAATGAAAATTTATTATTATTATTTGTCTGTGTGTGTGTGTGTATATATATATATACGTGTACATATATATACATGTATATATGTGTGTATATATATATGTGTGTGTGTACACACGTACACACACACACACACACACACACACACGGTTGGAAGCTGCCCAGAGTGGCTAGGGAAACCCAGCCAGATGGGTGGGGTATAAATAATAAATTATTTTTATAAATTATAATAAATAAATTATTATACATGATCGGAGTTGCAGATCCACGGCTGACGAGGCAGGGTGCCAACAGGACATTTCTTGTGTGGGGCACATTCTTCCATCTCGGCAACACCCACAAAAGAGAAGACTAAGGGAAGATTAGGCAAACTTCTCTTCCTGGTCAAGTCACCTACTCCATGCATGTGACAAGGTAGGCTTTTGCCTCCCCAACACAATAAATTAGTTCACGTACAAGACAAAACCGCATTTTTGCCAGCTTAAATTGACAGAAAATTGGCACAGGACTCTAGCCAACACTTAACGTGTCCATCTCCTACCTTGTGATGCGAGTAGCTAAATCTTAAGCCCGCCCATGTTAAACACGGCCAAATCAAGCTTATACAGTGTTGGGGTTGGTTGCAGAATTTGGAAGGAGAATTCTTACTGCTTCTTTCTCCTCAATCAACACCTGGCATTCAGCACGCCAATGCAATGGTACCAGGCCCCAGTCTATCAGACACATTGTGAAGAACGTGGATTAAGAGCATGTACGAGAAAGTTAGAGCAGGCCCAGTCCTGGGAGTTACAGAAAGGGAAGAAAGACTTTGCAGAAGTACGTACAGCTCATCCCCGTGGGAGTTCTTGCAGCAGTGCCAGGCTGGAGGGAAGGGGTCAGGATCTCTGACTTGATGGCAATGCCGCCACTTTCGGCAGCCTCCGACCCGCACAGTCCTGGTGGCAGCTGAGCTTTCTCCAGCGACGGCAGAATCTGGTCAAGCTCCGACGCAAACTGAAGGAAGGAAGCAAGGCCACAGGTCAGCCACGGAAGCTCCGAGGGCAGCCACGGGTGGAACAAGAAACCAACCACAAGCCTTTTGCTCTGGCCTGGATGGCGCAAATTCGCAAAAGCCCTGAACAACTTGGGTCCACTCCTTATGCTCCATCCTGATAAGAGCACTTCTGGGGGGTTCCCCACACCACTGAAGTTCAGCTGGCCTTCACCAGAGACCCAGCCTTTAGCCCTGTCCTGTGGAACTCCCTGCCAGTAGAGGTTTGGCAGGAATAATGGCAGCTGGCTTTCAGACATATTCGGAAAACCGCGTAATTCAGAGCAGGCCTGTGAAATGTTCATTAAATGAAAAAATCTATACTGATGTTTTTATGCTAAATACTATGCTGATTGAGATAGCTTCCTGGCTATGTTTCTGTATAAAGCTTCCAGAATGGCAAACAATCAGTAATAAAATTGTAATAGTAAAGCTAAAAGGAACCCTGACCATTAGGTCCAGTCGTGATCGACTCTGGGGTTGCAGTGCTCATCTTGCTTTATTGGCCGAGGGAGCCCGCGTACAGCTTCCAGGTTATGTGGCCAGCATGAATAAGCCACTTCTGGTGAACCAGAGCAGCGCACGGAAACACCATTTACCTTCCCGTCGCAACAGTACCTATTTATCTACTTGCACTTTGACGTGCTTTCGAACTGCTAGGTTGGCAGGAGCAGGAACCGAGCAATGGGAGCTCACCCTGTCGCGGGGATTCGAACCGCCGACCTTCTGATCGGCAAGTCCTAGGCTCTGTGGTTTAACCCACAGCACCACCCGCATCCCATTGTCATAATGCAGCATAAACTTAAGACCACTGCGTCCATTTAGCTCAGTGTTGTCTACAAGGATCAACATTGGCTCTCCAGGATTTCAGAGCAGGAGTCTCTCCCAGGCCTATAAGGAGATGCTGAGGACCTTCTGCATGCCAAGCAGGTGCTATACCACTGAGCTAAAATCCTTCCCCTTTCTTCTCTGCAAGTACAGTGGTACCTTGGTTTAAGAACAGCTTAGTTTATGAGCAACTTGCATAAGAACGCTGCAAACCCAAAAGTAGGTGTTTTGGTTTGTGAACTTTGCCTTGGAAGCAGAACATGTTCCATTTGTAAACTGAGTCCCCCGCTGCTATGGGAAAGCGCGCCTTGGTTTAAGAACGCTTTGGTTTAAGAACGGACTTCCGGAACGGATTAAGTTCGTAAACCACGGTACCACTTTTATTTCAAACGATGCTTAATTGAAAAACAAACAAACCATGATCTAGAAAGTTCTGCATTGTTGGTCAGAAGCTGTTGTATATTCTACATGGACCAGAAACCCTGCAGAAACCCAGCAGTAATTTGACATTTGGCTGGATGGCAACACACAGCCTCCAACCAGAAAAATAATAATAAATTGTTTCCTTAAAGGTGCTAAGTGGAGGGGGGAAAATGATGTATGGAACAAGCTGGGCTTGCAGTTACAGCAACAGCAGTGTTCAGTTTCCCCGGTCTGTTCCAGGCACACACCGTGCCTGGACAAATCAGATAAGTCCGCCGCCGTAATGTAACGGAAGAAAAGGGGAGGGTATGCATTACATTCAGTTTGATCCAGAGAGTGATAGCACATCACGGGCTCAAAAAAAAGTGAACATCCAGAAACATTCCGAGAGTGAAAACATTGGCAAGGTGAGGTGGGCTTTTCTTTGAGCAGAAACTGTTCCAGTTTGGAAACAAGACATTTCAACTCTCACACCCACAGAGCAAGATGTTTGAAATGCTGAATCAGTCGGTCTCTTTCTCTCTCTCTCTCTCACACACACACATATTCACACACATGGGGAACAGTTTCATAACCAGGAGCCTGCAGAGAGAGAAAGAGAGCAGCCATATCTACCAGGTGGGAGTTCTGCATCCACTGTGCTCAGGAAAACACAGGCACACATTTCTGTTTATTCGCGTTCCGAAAAATGTGAGATTGCTGGTTCGCCTTTCTGTACCTGGGCATCTCCTCTGAGGCCAACGGGGCCTAACTAAACCATCACATGATGGCTCACAGGGCATCATCTCAACAGAGATTCCCTCCTGCGGAAGAGAGAGACAGCAAATGCCTCGTCCACTTGCCACCCCGACATTAAAAACTACTAAAAGTTACTTGCATTAAAAGCAACTTGTAATTAAAAGCTATTTTGAAAACCTGAACATCTTTTTGGTGGACTAGAATTTTTTTTAAAAAATCGCTTGCACTATCATGCTTAGCTACTTTCTTTTTTAATTTGTTTTTTAAATTAAAATTCCAAAAGTAAAGAAAAAGAAAAAAACACAAGAGATAAACTTACATCAAAATGTCATACAGTTCCACGTGCTGAGATTACACTGAATCTCATTGACTTTCCTCCCCCATCCCATCCATGGGTCCACTTAATTCTATTTTAACCGCATATCCATATTTCTCCAATTATTTTGTCTTCCTAAATTATCCATGCGTACACTTTCATTACAAGTGTATTTAGAATCCTGCTAATGTTTTGACCTGTTTACAATGTTTAAACTAACGTTTCTTAAAAGACAGAAGCCTTTTTTATTAGGAATTATAGGTACCGAGATCCCAAAGGATCAGAAGAAACTGTTCATGTATGCTATGGCTGCTGCTCGGCTGTCCATCGCTCAGAGACGGAAGGAGGAGACAACCCCGATGAAAGAGGAATGGCAAATCAAGTTGATGGACTACGCCGAAATGGCAAAGTTAACTGGGAAGCTCAGGGACCAAGAGGACGAGGAATTTAAAGAAGAATGGGAAATGTTCATAATGTATATACAAAAATATTGCAAACAAGGCTGAGGCACTTCCCATGTTGCGTTCCTCCTCAAAACAATCCCTAACTTGCACTGAGCTGCCCTCTTCAGAATTCCTCCTCCTGGAATGAGGCCACTACATGGGTTTTGGAAGCTCCAAGCAATGGTGCCCCACACTCTGAGAGCTGAGCTCCAGCATCCTTCAGGCCCTGGGAGCTGCCTTCTCAGACAGAATGGGGATTCACTGCTTCCCCTGAACTTATTGCCACCGAAGGCTGATCGCCGAAGAATGGATGCTTTTGAATTCTGGTGCTGGAGGAGACTCTTGAGAGTCCCATGGACTGCAAGAAGATCAAACCTCTCCATCCTGAAGGAAATCAGCCCTGAGTGCTCACTGGAAGGACAGATCCTGAAGCTGAGGCTCCAAGACTTTGGCTACCTCATGAGAAGAGATGACTCCCTGGAAAAGACCCTGATGTTGGGAAAGATGGAGGGCACAAGGAGAAGGGGACGACAGAGGACGAGATGGTTGGACAGTGTTCTCGAAGCTACCAGCATGAGTTTGACCACTGCGGGAGGCAGTGGAAGACAGGAGTGCCTGGCGTGCTCTGGTCCAGGGGGTCACGAAGAGTTGGACATGACTAAATGACTAAACAACAACAACAAGAAGCTCATGTGTGGGTTGCTTGAGTTGCAGCTGAATTGTTCCCAGGTCCCCTGTCAAGATCAACCTTCCCCTGTGCTCTTGATCAAGGGAAGCACAAGACCCTAGATGCTGTTGGATCGTAAATGCCTCCCCACAATGGGTGAATGATCTTTGCCACAGCTGCTTTGTCTGCTAAGGATGGGCCCTCGGATGGGTATTGATGCAGGACAGCTATGTCTCATTAGCTCAGATCCAAGGTTCGCTCCCTCTCTCTCTCTCTCAGATCACAATTTCTCCACAGTTATTCGTAAGGAAAACTGCAAGAGACAGCCTTGTCTGCTTAGATTCATTCTATCTCTCCCTCCTCTCTGTCTCTTCACTGACACATTTTAGCAAATCTCCTCAACAAAGGAATAAGCTCTGGAAATGTACTTGAAGGTAGGAATGTGATCTAAGGAGACAATTGGAGAGGAAATGATATAATGAGAAACCAAGCCCATCACGGTGCCTTAAGAAATAAGAGTTTACTTGCATCGTTTTGCTCAACAAGTGTAAAACAAAGCACTCTCCATTTAACACACCAGTCCTGTCTATTGTATGCTATACTACTGCATACATACTATAGCTAGAGTAGCCATGAGCTGAGGCTGATGCAGTTCAAAACTTCTGGAGGCTGGCGAAGTTTATGATAATGACTTGGGTGATT